CCACATATAGGAACTATAGCAGTTAGAAATAAAACAAGCAGTATGTAAAAGGATTAATATAAAGAAGGCCTTGGAATAATTTTCACAGGGACATGGCCAATGAAAGTGATATCTTTTATGTTTGTTATTTCAGATATATGGCTTTCTTTTAATGTCCAAACTGTTGTTGGCTATCACATCTCTTTTCCTTAAAAATTTGCCTGATGTAAAAATAATGTTGTTTATGAATTTTGATGTCCTTTGGTAGATTGTATCTTCAACACAAACAAACAACATTAGATTCTTATATTGACTACACATGTGAATTTCACTAAATTTTGACAAATGGCAAGTTGACCTACAAGAGTGTAGTGCATGTGTATAAATAAGAGAAGTCACACTATTTGAAGACTTTCAACAGCAGCAACTGATAAAATGGATGGTACATGTAACTTGAGAAAATAATGACATAATTAAAGTGTTGACTTTCCAAACTGCATTAAACAAAAGGTTAGGAAGTATGAGGAAGAGACAGTCAGTTATGTGCCAGGTGTGATACATGCTTAAGCAATCATGTATCTTTCAATACATAACTGACAAGGCAGATTTTTTTTCTGTAGTAGGTTGCCATTTCTTTCTGCAGCAGACCAGTTGCCATCCAAGGCTATAGAACCCAGTCTGTTCTGCTATTTACCCATAGCTGGTGGGGGAGAAGAGGATTCATACCTTTCCCAAGGGTATTAGCACATAAGTGAATTTAATGGATTTGACTTGAATTTGAACTCTGCTCTCCTGATTCCTCAATCCGAGTCGCTATCCATTATTCCATCATCCTGTCAGACCACCCCTGTTTTTTCATAGTGGTTTTGATTGTGTATATCAAACTCAATGGGCAATTCTATGTCCACACAGTTTCCATCTAACTTGGAATAATTAGGTCTCATCCACTGTCCAGTATCTTTTGCATGACCATTACAGTTCAATGCCACAAATCATATCTGTTAGATTGTGCCACTGATCACATTCAACACCCTGCTGCTGATGTCATCATAACCCTGACAGGGATGGTGTCCAGGAGCTATGTCTTGCCATATAGCAATCCATGATTTAGTTCCTGGGTCAAAAACAGGTTTGAATTCAGAGTTGTCCTTCTTCTAGGCTGGTTGCTATCCATGACTAAAGAACCCATTCTGTCCTGCTATTTAACCCATAGCTGGACAGAGAAGAGATGGATTCATACCTTTCCAAAGGGTATTTGTGTGTAAGTGAATGTAAAAGAACTTGACTGGAATTTTAATTCTGCTCCCTAATTTCTCATTCTGAGTCACTATCGATTATAACCCCTATAGTGGACTTGAGAAAACTACCTTCCTGAAATAACTGTTTTAAGTGAAAAATGTCAACTAATAGTAATACTAACTGTTCAGGCAATGAATGTTAAATGTTTCCTCATAAAGAAATGGCTAATCTCACCACTACCATAATAAAATCTGACATTGTATGTATGTGTGGGGTGCATGTATGTATGTGTGCACATATATGTATGTGTGTAATTATCATTTAATTTGTAAGTGTTCTCTTAGTCACATTCATTAATATTCCTACTATTCTTATTCTGCAATTTTTCAGAATTATTTCTATTGAAGATTACCCCTCAAACTACACCCTTTCCAAATTGATTTGTTGAATGTGATAGATTCCCTGACCCGTAAAGAAGACAAGTGCAATATGACCCTTAATCCTTTTGCATTTGGCCTGCACTTTTTTCAATCCAGTCAGACTATGAATGAATAAAAGCAGATCACAGGAAAAAAAAATTAGCTGGAATAGAGGAGAATGTATTCATTGTGTATTTCTTGTTTACCCTTTTCTTTTTTTCTCTATCTTCTTACTGCATATCTATGTATTCGAGAGAAAAATCATGAAAAAAAAAAGAACCTAGTATTTTCACTAGTTATCTTTCCTTGGAACTTCATTAATCATTGCAGGTTCTTGGCTTAATACATACATCAACCATTCATCAATCTGTCTCATGTGATGAAGCGGCTTGGCCCACTAAATACGCTTATGGATTTATTTTTTATTTTTTTTTTTTTTTACAATGAAAATTAGAAGGGATGGCTGATACAGGTTGTTTTCTTAGAGTCAGGTGACAAGGCTATTCAGTGTTGGTCCCACCTAAAACGTTTTTTTTTTTTCTTTTTTTTTTCTTTTTTCAAGCACCTTTGTTGTTTGAGTTCTACATAAAATTTTCACTCAGTTAATAGAATTGAAAAGAGATTGGTAAATAAAATTGAGAGAATAGAAATCCATTGGGACAAATCTTTGTAGATTGAGTGGCCATGGTTAAATGTAAAATAAATGACAGCATTGTCCAACAAACAGAATTGACAAAGTTTGTAATAAGCAAGAAAAAGAAGAGGGGCAAAAAAAAAAAAAGAATATAAAGCAAACAAACAATATATGCAAAACAAATCAACAGTAATATGGCAAAAAGTTCATAGAACTAAGAATTGGGGGTTGACAGACAAGATCAAGTTCAGACAAGCTTCATGATAAGACAGACTGGGACTAAATCAGATGAAACAGAGAATTGGCCTATTTTATTGTCTAGGAAAAAATCTCAACACACATTTGTGTGCTTCTGCCTATAAATTTTTTTTTGGTGGGGGGCAAGTGTTTTGCAGTCATTTCTATTCTTGATTTAAACCAACAACAAATTTAAATTAAAATATTTTCTACATTATTTACATTATTCGGAATATTGTCCTTATCTTTGTCACCATATTTATTACAACGTTTCGGCCGTTGTATGTTCTGGCCTTCTTCAGGTGGTTGAAATGTCAAACTCAACCCTTTATTTTGCTCACTGGGGTAGACTGTTCTAGTTCCATGTGCCATGTTTAATGGCTGTCGGTTATCAGTTATCTCCAGTTAATTTCCCGCGTTGTAATAAATATGGCGACAGAGATGAGGACAATAGTCGGAATAATGTAAATAATGTACATAATACCTCATCTCAGAAATATAGACAGATACTAAAATATTTTCTCTCATTTGCTCAGATAAAAGAAAATTTTTTAATTTCAATTTTCTCCTGATTTCTCAAACAAAAGGATGTACAGTGTGGTCAGAATGTCTTGTCACCCCCTAACAAAAAGTAACGAGAATGATAAAAAAAAAAAAAATAAGTAATACAGTAATAAAAAGCACATGTACTAGATTCAGTTTATTAATTTTCATTAACACTGTCACACATCAAGTAGGTCTGTATGAACACCATCATTCTCATATCAGCCATCTGAAATAGAAAATTATATTATGTAGGGGTGGGGGGACAAAACATTCGGACCACCCTGAACATTGTATGTATCAGTTTGGAAATTGGAAAGGCAAGTTCAAATTCCAGTTGTGTTCATTGTATTCACTTATATGCAAATACCCCCCCCCCTCAGTTATGAATTGAATAGCAGAAAAGACTGGGTCATATAGCCTTGGCTGGCCACCACTCTATCACAGAAAGAAACCTACTGCACAAAAAAAAAAAAAATGAAGTTGGTTTTATCATATTTAAGACCCAGTGACTAACATACTATCCTGTCCCCTACAAACACATACTAATAGTCAATCTCTTTCAAATTTGGTTCACTGTCGTCAATTCTTCTCATCAGAATCCCTCTTGCACATTTATGTCTACATTTTATCTGTGCATTGAATATTGCTGCCATATCTTGTCAGGTGCTCCTATTATATATCTTGAGATTCTTGACAAAATTCAAAGAAGGGTTTGTAATATAATTGATCTTGACCTGGCATCTCAACTTCAGTCACGTTCGCACTGACATAATGTGGCTTCCCTCTGCCTTTTCTACAAATATTTTCATGGCAATTGTTATGATGAATTTTTCTTCTTAGTGCCTTGACTATATGAATTTAAGCATTATACTAGATTGGCAACTAGGTACCACCATTTTATTGTTGGACTAGCGAGATACAACCGTCATGTCTATTCTAATAGTTTCTTTTTTTGTACTTACTGCCTGTGGAACTCCCTTCCAATTTCTTGCTTCCCTGCCACCTACAATCTTCAAAAATTTAAATGCAATGCCAATCACTATTTTCCTGAAACCTATGCCTTTATTGTCCTTTCCTCACTTCTCACTAAAATATTTTTCACTCCTTGTAACATCCTGCATCTTAGTGGCATTGTCATCTTGATTGGGTTGAAATGATTAAAAAAAAAAATTCTTTCTTCATTAGAATATTTGTGTACAAAAAGAGTAATGTAATAAAATATAAAAAGATAATGAATGATATTGCATTAAAATTTTTGAAAATCAAACTTTACTGGGAAGCAAGACGCCAGAAAAGTGTTCTACAAGTAAAAAGTGTGAGAGAAGAAATTGCTACCATAGAACTTATGGTTACATTTGTTTCCACTGTAAAATGATGAGACCACCAATCTAGATTTGCACTTAAATTCATAGAGTTTAGGAAAGTTCATCGGAATAATTATCATAAAAGTATTTCTAGAAAAGGTACAGGGGAAGCTAAATAAAGGCAGTGTGAAAGTGAATGAAAATAAGACACAAATTCAGGAACAATAGCAGATTGTTCTTTGTATTTATTTTTAATAAAGCAGATATGGAATTATTCAGAAGTTAACTACTGCTTGGAACTATGATATGAAGTATATTTATTATTTCTTTTGTTATATAGACTCCTCATATTTTTTTGTTGATTTTTTAGTAGACAATATTTTTTCAGACTATTAATGAGTATTTTTTATTTTTTCATTTATTTCCTGACAATGAACATCGCACTTCACTCTTCTGAGGAAACTCTCAAGGAGAAAAAAAAATCCTGTCTATTTTCATCTGATCTGACAAAGCAAATTCCAATAATTGAATTCGTTTTGTCTTTCTTTACTTTACTTGACTGTAGATATCTACTTCTGTTTTATTTATCAATATGGTTAACCACATTCATTACAAATATTGTTGTCCTTGTTGTTCTTTCAGGCATTGTCAGATTCAGAGGTGCATACATACGCAAACACTTTACGACACAACGATGAACTGGTGACTTCCCTCTATGAGGTACTTGAACAACGACCGGGTGTTGAGGTAAGAGAAATTGGAGCACGTGATAATCTCCCTTAGATTCTTTTTTTTCTATGATTATCTCCCTTTCTTTGGCACCGTGCCAGACGCTTATTAAAATTGTAACAACTTTCACTACTAAACTGAAGTTATGAAAAAATAAATAAATAGAAGATTCAACGTTTTTATCAGATGAGCTTTAACCTTTTCTTCAAAATTTGTAATAAACAGTTACATTTTAAATCCATTATATGCTTATTGCATGTTCCTGGCTCAGCAGATTTTGTTGAAATGTTTGTTGTGTTTGTGAAGAAAAACTTTAAAAAATCTATTATAATATAAACTAAAGTAAGATTTGGTAAAACAAATCGGACAGATTCATATGATAGCAGACGCATTATTAGCAGACACATTATTCTAATAATTAGTTTCAGACAAAATAAAAACCTATTTTTATTGAAAATAATAAAGATACAATATCTCTACTAAGTAGATAGCAGCTTAAAATTTAATTAATTACAATTTAAAAAGAAAGCTAAAATTTACACAGCCTTTAAAACGTATATTAAATTATTACTCTGAAAAGTTTCAGCTTTTTGGTATATATAGTCATTAAATTATTAGAAATTTTATACTTTGAAGTAACACATTCAAATAGAGCCAAATATTTTTCTCTTAAATATATGTGCGTATTCTTGTGTTCATTATTACTTCTGCATGTCAAGTACTGGAGTTATAACTCTGTATAAATAATTATAACCCTCCCCTCAGCATTTATACATACAAAAATACTTGTAGAAAATGAGTAACAGTAAAACCTGGAAACAAAAAAACAAGTATTATTTATTATCTGGTTGACAGTGGTTATGTGGTGTTAGACACAAGAGACGGTAATACTGTGTAAGTTGTATATAGTCTTTATATTGTATGTATATATATATATATATATATATATATATATATATATATATATATATATATATATATATATATATATATATATTATATATATATATATATATATATATATATATATATATATATATATATATATATATTATATATATATATATATATATATATATATATATATATATATATATATATATATATATATATATATATATATATATATATATATATATATATATATATATATATAATATATATATATATATATATATATATATATATATATATATATATATATATATATATATATATATATATATATATATTTATATATATATATATATATATATATATATATATATATATATATATATATTTTATATATATATATATATTTTATATATATATATATATTTTATATATATATATATATTTTATATATATATATTTTATATATATATATATATATATATTATATATATATATATATATATTTTATATATATATATATTTTATATATATATATATATTTATATATATATATATATATATTATAATTATTTTTTATAAAAAATTTATAACATAAGTATGTTATAAAAATCACTACAAAATAGCCATTTTGTTTCAACACACCTGTGTCTTATCAAGTGATGATGTTGAGCAACTCTTTAAGAATAGTAATTGTTGGTTATTGAATTCATCTGTGTATACCAATTATATACTTTAATATATATTATATATATATATTATATATATATTGTGTATTTAGGCAGCATATTTTCATTTATACACGTTTCATTAAATAATATAGACAAGTGTTGTCTATTTATTTTATGTAAATTTTTTTCATAACATCTGATAAGTTTAATAACATTATTGTTGAACAAAGAAAGAAATTCACAATATTGATCCATATTTTTTTAATATAATCTAAGCTTTCAGCTTACTTAAACCATTATCAAAGATGTCAATTACAACATATTAAACAATATACAGACACGACAGTGATGATAATCTGTCAATGTTTACATAGATGATTTCTAAGCAATGATAAACACGCGTATATAAGACGCTAGAAGCGAAAATCGCACCGCATCTCATGACGTCACATATGATCACATGAGAGTGAATTGGAGAATGAAGTATGGAAATCTGTTGGTATAAACCAATGGCTTCTGTTACCAATTATAGACATTTAAGAATATTTGTAGAGATGCCATAATTGATTTTGTTTAGGTTGGGTTTCAACTGTTTGATGTATAATGCTTCAAGTATTTTTAGTTTTTGTCTATTGTTTTCATGTCGAAGTATAATTGTGTTTTTGACAAGTATTTTACAGAATTGTGTGTGGGCAGGCATGTTGTTTTAAATGCTTAAAAATGTTAGTTTTCATTAAAATGTAGTGTCAAGCGTCATTGAAAGCGAAGTTTGTTGTGTGACCAACATAAATATTATTTAATTCATTGAGATACACTCTCCCAAAGGGCACTTGAATTTATAAACTATGTTGGTTTTTTGCAAATCACTAACCGGGGAGAAGAATCATTATGAAGTATTAGGTTGGATATACTAGATTTAGTGTAGTATATGATTAATTTAACTTTTTTGCTAGGATCTGTAGTTGATATATTAGAATTTACTAAATTTGAAATATTTAATGCTATAGTCCTTGAGGTGTATTTTTTGTCTAGTGCCTCAATGGTAGTTAGGACATCAGTAGTGGATTGGACCGATTGAAACCTATAATAATTAACCTATAACCTTCTTGTTGATTATAGTCTCAAAAAGCTTGTTAATGACACTGGGGAGACCGAATGGTCTATATTGTGAGTGGAATGAGCAATTACCTATATTCTTGAAAACCAGGCATACACTTGACACCTTCCACAGACTTGGGAAGGATTTCTCCTTCAGACAGTGGTTAACTAATTTTCCTCAGGGTGGGGATAGTTCCAGGTTGATATTCATAAGGACAACCAATAGGATTTTTGTCTGGGCCAGTAGTTTTCTTAGGGTCAAGACTTTTGATAAGTCTTGAGACTTCTCAAGCTGTAATAAAAATACTAATGAGATTGTGCTCAGTGAGACAGGAAAAGTTGGGAAGAGGATGTCCTATGTTTTCTAATGTTAGAGGCAAAGATTGAAGTGAAAAGCTTTGCTTTATTTGGCTGGGAAGATATAACCTCTGGACCATTTATAATTGTGGACACAGATGCTTTGGATTATTCATAATTTGATTGGTGATGTTCCAGAATTTGTTTGTTTTTCAATCTTGGCCTGGACGACTTGTGCATAGCTACACTTTGCATTTTCCAGAATGTTTTTGCAGTGATTGTGTGCAGTTCTGAATGCACTAAGTCTCCAGCTATACTGCTCCTTGTGATAGACATTGAAGGAATGGTTATGGTGAGGTTTAGCTGCAATGTATGCAGTGATGAACCAGGGCTGGCTGTTTGGTTTTTGCTGGAATTTTTTGGTGGGTATAAAACTCTCTATTCCAGAAAGGATCCATTCTGAGGCAAGAGCAGCAGTTTTAGAGGCAGTATGTTTGAAGAAGGTTGGGAGAGGAGTTTCCACCATGTAAGCTCTAAAGCTGTCCTAGTCTCCCTTCATGTAGTGAAAAATCATTCTAATGAACAGCAAATCAGGGGATGCCTTTGGTTTGCTAAGATGGAGTATCAGCCCTTGAATGATAACCTTTCTAGAGATGATGTCTTCATAAAAATATTTGGTATACTTGGACTATCATCAGTGTCTGAGTCGAGTGTCAGCAAGAGCATCTAGCCATGTAAAAGAAATTACTTAAATCATTAGGACAAATCCTCTACCAAGCAGGAACCTCCTTGCTTTGTGCAAGATTAATCCTAGTCCTGCTTCAACCCCAAAAAACATGGCTATGTCTGTTCAAATGGATCCTTATGCATTACCTTATCAAATAATTTTATGTAATCTATGAAGCAGAAGTGTTTTATTTTTTTGTTTTTTTTGCTCTCCCTGGTATCATTCCAATCATAAATATAGGATTTCTTCCTTTCCAGTTAAATTTGACCTTCAAAAATTTAAATGTACTGTTCATTTATTGTTCTCTTGCTTTCAGTAATTACATGTGCTTAGTGGCTTTATTGCCTTCCTGAGAAGGGGGCGGAGGAGAATGAAAAAGAAATGTTCTTCTTCCATGTCCTTCATGAAACAACACTGTTCTTGTTCTATTTCCAGTCTAAATCTGCTTGTGTTCTATTAATCCAAATTTGTAATAAAGAGGAAAAAAAAAATCCCCACAAAAGTATATTTTAAGGATTCAATAGATAAGTCAATCGCAGCTTTTAAAATCAATCAGGATAACTCAGAGATTGCTTCTGCTGACAGATCAAAATGGAGGAAAGATATTTATGAAGGATCAAAGCTCATTGCAGAAAATAAAAAAGCAAAAAAAAAGGAGACACATCCGATGGCTGATGAGGGTACACTTTTCTGTGACTCATTGAAACTATTCTAATCAACCATATGCATAACCATAGACTAAGATACCTCCAATTAACTACATGCAACTAATTTCACCTACTCAATTAGTGATAAATTATGTAGAGGTCTGAATGATGTAAACTTAAAAAAATCTCACTGTATTAACTTACAATCCAATAATCAATCAAAACAAGATTTTTTGTATAATTTGTGTGTATATAATGTATATGTGTGCTCGTGTGTGTATATGTGTGTGCTCGTGTGTGCATATAATATATATTTGTGCTCGTGTGTGCATATAATATATATTTGTGCTCGTGTGTGCATATAATATATATTTGTGCTCGTGTGTGCATATAATATATATTTGTGCTCGTGTGTGCATATAATATATATTTGTGCTCGTGTGTGCATATAATATATATTTGTGCTCGTGTGTGCATATAATATATATTTGTGCACATGTGTATATAATATATTTGTGCACATGTGTATATAATATATTTGTGTGCATGTGTGTATATAATATGTGCACGTGTGTGTATATAATATGTGCATGTGTGTGTATATAATATATATGTATGTTTATAATACATACATGTGTGCATGCATGTGTGTCTATAATACATACATATGTGTGCGTGTGTGTA